CGTCATCTTGCCTAGGAAATCTAAGCTCAGCAGGATCAACTTGGACAGGTGCAGATCCACTGAAGTGGAAGCTAGAGAATCCTCTAATTCCAGAGACTTTATCACCAAGTTTTGATCTGTTAGCTTTTCTGTTTCCTGTATCAGATTAATGTTTGTAAAATTCAAAGACCTAGGAATTAAAATAACTTCTAATATTGTAGAGCGCTTCAGAGTATCTGAAGGTTTTATACATACATCCTTTCATTTAACCCGCTGTAAGTTGTGTGACCGCGTATGTCATTACCAGGGGTGTGAGATAAGGAAGCCCAGATACAGACTCATTTAGTCAATCAAGTTTGAAAAGCAAGTACTCACCCATGGAGCTAGAACTTGGGGCACTTGTGAAAATAAAAATTCAAAGTACCTTTTCTATCCAACTAGAAAACCAATATATCCAAACTTCATTGTTTACATGGTTGTTAGCCTATAGGATAATTACTCCTTAAATTAAAAGCCATCACACAAACTGCTCTTGCAGATGGAAAGGAGCATTAACATGAGAATACTACCTACAGTTCAGTCCTAAAAAGCTCAATCCTTCCATTGTCTCAGGGGAAATGTTTCATAGATAGAGGCCAGACATTCAAACAGGATATTTTCCTGTAGGAAAAGATGAGATTGGTTTTAGAAAATCAAGCTTCATTATTCCCTGAAAAGAAAAACAAAATAGTGCTCAATCCATATTAGAGGATATCCAAAGAGAGCGAAGAGTTCTGTAGACTCCCTAGAAGTTTCCCTAGAGAGCATTCGGGCACTTGACAAATGCATAAATAATGACAGAAAATGTAGTTCCATATGTCACAGTTATCTTGCTTTGAATGAAAGAAAATCTGTCTTTCAGTAGATGAGGTTTTCTTCTCCCCCAAAGTTATGTATTCAGAGTTTTAGTGTTTCTATTTGTTGTTCTCTCCCAGGGAGCAGAACACACCTTATTCCAACACTGAAGAAAGAGGAAGGGCTGCTGAGCTCTGGCTATAAATATTTTATTATAGAGAGAGACAGAGATCACAGAGGGGCAGATGAGTAGCAGAAAACAAATGTGATGTTGTTTGCAAGTCCTCAGAGGAGGTTTATATTAAACTCTCTCTGCCAGCTTGTTTTCTGCTTGGCTTTTCTACTGTCAAACCGGGTAATGAAACCCTTTTGTGTATCTAAAGGTTTTCCTATTAGGTGAGGAGTGCTACATCTAGTTGAAAGTATAGAAATATCCACGTTATAAAGTATACACAAAGAAAAAGCTATTATAAAATGGCACAGTGATGAAGTTATATTTTCAAGAAGGATGATCCATATTAATTTGGTTTTAGAAAGATGCTATCCTAGTAAAAAAAAAAAAAGATTAAAAAATAAATTATAGGTTTTCTCCATATAATCCATTTATTTCTCTCCTCTTACCCCAGTGCCTCAAAGTTGTTGGAAGACTTTGACCTGATGGTATTTAGCATCTTTCATGATTTCATAATCCATTGGACTTTATTTGCTCAGAACTCACTATTAATGAGGACAAGGTCATAGCCTATTCTCTTTGAGAGAGAGAGAAAAAAAAAGAGTCCTGTTTTTTTAACATAAGAGCACAGACCACATATCAAACCTGCCACTCACATATTTAAATTTCTGGGTAAAAGGAGAAGTGGATAAAAGGGTGAATAATGCAACAAACATTCTAAGATTGCAGGGCTGATGGGGCTCATTTCGTCCTGGGTCTAAACCACCTGAAATGATCTGTATAAGTGCTCTTATTCTTGAATGAGAGGAGAAAACAAGTGTGCAGGGACTAGAAGTATTTGTCCCAATATAGTTGATGGCAAATCTTTGTTCTATTTTACATAAAATAGAATCTTAGATTTTTTTTTTTTAGTGATTGGCCAGTGAGTCCAATAATACATCTGTTTTTGAGTCAAGTGCCACTTGTAGCAAAGTTTTTTGTTTGGTCTCATGGTCAAGGAGCCCAATATGGAGAGGCCATATTGAATTTATGAAATGAATCTGTGAATCCATGAAAATGAAATGTATAAAATGGCATAGACTTGTGGTAAAAAAAAGTTGTGTTTCTTTGGGTACATCTCTATAACAGACACACATATAGAGATGCTTATTTTGCTGGTAAGAAAATGTGTGGGTAAACTAGAACTTTTGGGGGTTTTTTTGTTTTCTACAAATTATTCACAGATGACAGGTCACTGATTTTTGGTTTTAAGGGCTAAATTCAGTTGTCTGAAATGCTGCTTGGGTTGGTTTTGTACTTACTAAAAACCAGAACTAACATTCTTTACTATTCACTATTGGCGAGGTACCTTACTTATATAGGACATTTTCACTTTATCTTGTGGACCCCTCTGTATTATGGAAAATTGTGTCCATCTCCATTTTTCAGATGAACAAATAAACTTGAGGAATGACGAATTGGTCCAAACTGTGCAGCTAGTGCTGGAGCCAAGTCTGTTGGTTCCAAAGTCAACCCCTTCCTCTTGAAGGTTGGAAATATTAAATTTAATTGACATCAGTACCTCATATTAATATGTACATTATCAGCAGGTTCAGAGTAGTGTAGTTGTTATCTGAACATAGTCTAGTGAGCATTCAGATTGCTTTTTCTAGGTCAATAGTGGCAATCTGGCTTTACAGAGATAATAGATAAAGGTTTCTTAGTGGCATGTTTAAAGGAAAAGAAATTTGAGAGGAGAGTTTTAGTGATAGGAGAGTTTTAATCTAGGCACATATTAAATTTATGGCATCTGACTTTTTTTATTTTGGTTACTTGTAGTGTAAATAGAAAGTTAAAAATGCTAATTACAAAATAAAGTTTAAAACCAAAATACTGATTAATTATATAGAAAATGTAATATAATGGTATTAATATATAAAAATAAGATACATTTATTTTGTTTTACTTTTCTGGATCAAGGTATTTCTGTTGTAAAAAATATATTGAATTATTGTTATGTGAGAGACCCATATGGCTGTATCAGTCTTAAAATTGCATTTCCTGACAAGGTGACTTATCTTCTGCTGCTCTGAAATATATGAAGAGAATATCACAAGGCTTTAAAAGGAAGTTATGTCTACTTATGTTTTAGCTGATTTTGAACTAAATTAAAAACCTGTGTTTTAACAGGTTAGAAGCATGCAAGAACTGAGCTTTCAGAACCATCTAGGATTTCCTGTTATCTAGGCAAGACATTCATTTTTAGCAAGTTCTGATCTTAGCAATGGTAGTTTAAAACATAGGGCATGCTTTTAAGAAGATGATTTTACCAGCAAATTACTTTCTATGAAATACAAATAAATCAAGTTTAAATTTAACCAGTTTTAAATATTAAGAAGTAAACTTAATGGGAAAATATTTGCAACAGCTTTAAAACATAAATCTCTGTCCCTAAGGGAAGCCTTAAACATTTTTCGAATGCATGGGAAAGTAGATACTTAAAGTGTGATACTTCCTACTTTTTATGTCACAAAGTACTGGCATTTTTACAGAAAATACAAGCGTAGTAAGTATGTACACTGTGTACCTACAGTTAACTGATGCATATAATAAAATAAAAGCAGGTATTTCTTATTATTCAAGGAGAAAAATGGAGCCATCTTCTGGAAATGGTTTGGGTTGTCCCATAATGGATAGGGTAGACTGTCAACCTATAATTATTTTCAGGGAGGTTTTCTTTGGACTTGTCTGAAAATTGGATGAGCAGTGATTAATATCAGGAAGAAGAAAAGAACTGGGACCTGGGATTTGTCCTTTTAATAGGATAGGAGAGAATAACTGCTTTCAATTTTTGGATCTTTCACAAAGCATATGAAATCTGTATTTAGTCCCTTTGTACTCAATCAATAGTATTTATATATTTACTCATTTATTTTTTTTATGAAGATTTTATTTATTTATTTGACAGAGAGAGACACAGTGAGAGAGGGAACACAAGCAGGGGGAGAGGGAGAGGGAGAAGCAGGCTTCCCGCCAAGCAGGGAGCCCGATGCAGGGCTCGATCCCAGGACCCTGGGATCATGACCTGAGCCAAAGGCAGATGCTTAACGACTGAGCCACCCAGGCGCCCCTATATATTTACTCATTTAAATGGCAGTGCTGTGCTGGACCAAAAACAAGGCTAGGAACTTACAGATCTACACATAACTTTGAATCAGCCAATGTATATATAGTCAGTCTTCATTATTCGTGGATTTTGTATTTGCAAATTCACCATCACATGTGTTTTTGCATTTCTATGCTTTTGCTGGTGGTTTTGCTGTTTGAAATGGTCCCAGAGCAGAGTGCTGAGGTGCCTACTGTCTAGTATTCCTCAGTGTGATGTGCCTTGTGGAATAAATACATGTCTTTGGCAATCTTCATTCAGGTGTGAGGTCTGGTGCTATTGGCTAAGTTGAATGTTAACGAATCAACAACATATATATATATATATATATAAAATGTGTCTTTAAACAGAAACACAAACTCTAAAACAAGGTTATGTGTTGGTTGATGGATGAGCATGTTTGGGATCAGAGACTTGAAGAACCCTGGATTTCTTGTAGGAACAATGGGTTCAGCATTCGCTCATTTGGTGTTTGCAGCTACTGTGTAGAATGTGACTACTGCAAATAATGAGAATCGGCCATATGAAACGTGCAATTACTAGAGAGCAGGCTCAGCCCCAGAGAGTCAGGGACCAAGGGCACATTCACTGCCTCCATAGAGCTCACTCCCTCTTCAAGAACTGGACTCACATTGGACCAGTGTGAGAAAGTGCTATGACAGATGCAGGTAAGGTGCTAAGGGAAGCCTAACACTGCTGGGGGGTCCAGGTAATCCCAGATCAGTAGCTGCATGCCTGAGAGAATGATTGGAACAGTAGGGAAAAGATGCGCAGCATGTACAGGAATGGGAAGTAAGTGAGGTTGTTTATTTTTAAACGGAGCAGAATGTTGGTGGGTTTCTGACACATGTTGGTACCATGTTGTTACAGAAATATACTGTGGCAAAATGCTTCCACCTCTTGCCAAAAACACTGAAGAAAAATGAAGAACACTGAAGAACTCCAACAAAAAGTTGCAGAACAGAAATAGCCAAACTACTCTGGAGTCCAATTCATCCACAGCCATCAAAAAAAGGTAGGGGGATGAATTATGTTATGGTTTTGCTCTTTTAAATTTTATTTTAAATAATGTACACACACACACACACACACACACACACAGTGGAATACTATTCAGCCATAAAAAGGGAAGCCCTGCCATTTGAGGCAGCATAGATGGACCTTGAGAGCATTATGCTAAGTGAAATAAGTCACATGTGCAGAAAGACAAATGCCATATGATCTCACTTATATGTAGAATCAGTTAAAAAAAATTTTTTTTAAATCTGAGCTAAAAGTTACAGAGACTATATTGCAGGTTGCTAGAGGTGGGCAGGAGGATGGGGATCCATAGAATGGTGAAGGTGGTCAAAAGATACAAACTTCCAGTTATAAAATAAGTCATGGGGGTGTAATATGCAGCACGGCGACTGTAGTTAACCATATTGTATTGTGTATTTGAAAGTTGCTAAACTTTCTGAAAGGGTTCTAAAATGGGGTGCTGTGGGAACCCTTACTTTCTCCACACCAAACCCTTTTCAGAAGACTTTGGCCATCAGAAAACAGGCCCAGTGCAGTCCCCCTGCTCAGCGGGGAGCCTGCTTCTCCCTCTCCCACTCCCCCTGCTTGTGTTCCCTCTCTTGCTGTGTCTCTCTGTCAAATAAATAAATAAAATATTTTTTTAAAGAAAGAAAGAAAACAGGCCCAGTACAGCAATTATAGTGTCAGATAATTGAAAAGATTCTTGAGACACCATAAAGTATATACATGTACAGCTGTAACCAAACAAAGGAAAGCGTGCAGCAGGAGAAAGCAAGCCCAACAAGCACTGGAGGGGACTGAGACTTCTAGGTGCAGCTCTCAGGGTCCTTTCTCCATCACACATCATGCCCTTAGTCTTCAGACCATGAACCACCAAGATACACGTATGACACGTTTGGTCTCAGGGGAGCCAAGAATCAGGCTTACTGAGGAGCATTTTATACCCCACAGCTCAGGGAGCTAAAAGCAGTCTTTGTGAACAGGTAAACAGGTGTAAACCATCAATCCACTCAGTTTCCATAAACAGCATAGACAGGCTGGTACAGTATGCATTGGGGGGAGTTTCGGACTTCTAATAGCAAGTTATAAATCACTACCTATTACATTTCACTTCTTTCTTGGCCAAGAATCAATACCATGGTTCCAGGTGCCTTTTAGCATAAGCACAGAACTACCCAAGATCAATTGGGTATCCTAATGTACTCAGAGAATTGAACCATGATGAAAATATCCAAGGAAACCTAAAGGTGGTATGCCACATTCTCTGATTGGTCTTGTCATCCACTGGATCAGATACAACTCTGATTAGCTGGAGAGATCTTTACAAGGGTAGGCTTCCAAATGGAGTCAAAGTTCCTGAAAAAGTAACTGTATGCTGAAGCAATAAGAATAAAATAAAACAGAAAGATTAGTAGTTAGTTTAGGTTGATTTCTCTGGAATCAAATAGTGAGACAAAAAATTTGGGTCCTGGTGTTTATTTGGAAGGTGATGCCAGTATACCTTTATAGGGAAATGGGGATGTGGGGTGGGGAAGAGAAGGAAAACAGAAAAAGTACCTTATTGTTGCTGTGACCAAGAGGAGTATGATCCCATTGGGCAATTTTGGGATACAGTATAGAACACACCTTGGATTTATCCTAGCCAAGGGCAAGGGAGTCAGCTACCTTTTCCCATCTGCCTTGATGGAAGACTGCTCCCCTGGACAGAAGTGAAGGGTGTTAACTCCCTGGCATCTGTGGCCTGCCATAGATGTGGGCCAAGAGGACTCCAGCAGCCAGAGGAAGCCTCAGACAAAGAACCCCAGGTGTTTGCCATTGGAAGCTGCCATCAGATCAGCATGCACAGAAATGATGAGTACCAAGAGGCTATGGATGGAGTACTGATGGTTTCTGCTCTAAGAAGTGACAACAACAGGGATGCTCCTGATTATATTAGTAGAGCTATCATTTATCAAGTATGAAGCCATGTACTATAATAAATGCATTACATTTTATCATTTAATTCTTATTTGTCACTCAGTACCAGGTGCAGGGGAGGGGAAATATGTATTTTATCACCACAGTCCTGCAGCATATATATTGATTCTGGTCTTCCATGTATAGATGAGCAGATAAGGTTGAGCAAGGGTAACCAAATTCTCGGGAGTAACACATACAGGATATAGAGCTGGGATTCAGATTCTGGTCTGCCTCCAAAACCATCCGTTGGACATCATTGTAATCCTTAAGTCACTAATTAATTATTTTTCTGACACCCACTTATTTGAAAGTTGGCAGAAGCCATTTAGATTTGGGGATACAAAAAAAAATGCCCATGTTCTTAAGGAGAGCAGGAAAAGAAAGACCAGAAAACATGGAGTAGAATAAGAGCCATATGGAAGTGTGTTACTGCTGTTAAGTAGGATCAAGAAAGAGGTTATCAGTTGTTGCTGTATAACAAATAACCCCACGACTTAGTGGCTGAAGACAACAAGTATGTATTATTGCTGACAGGTCGGTGGGTGAGTTAAAAAGTTCTGCTGATGTGGGCCAGGTTTAGCTGGTCTGAGGTAGGTTCACTCATTCATCTGCAATCAGCCAACAGTGGCTAGGGACTGGCTAGTCTAAAATGCTTTCCATCACACACCTGGTAACTGAACTGGATCAGGGCGCCTGGGTGGCTCAGTCATTAAGCGTCTGCCTTTGGCTCAGGTCATGATACCAGGGTCCTGGGATTGAGCCCCGCATCAGGCTCCCTGCTCTGTGGGAAGCCTGCTTCTCCCTCTCCCGCTCCTCCTGCTTGTGTTCCCTCTCTTGCTGTGTCTCTCTCTCTCTCTCTCTCTGTCAAATAAATAAATAAATAAAATCTTCAAAAAAAAAAAAAAGAATGTAGCTGGATCAACTCAATTCTCCAGTGGCTAGCCTGGGGTTGTTCCCATAGTGGCTGGGGAAGGTTTGAGAGTGAATGAAAGTGTGCAAGGCTTCCTAAGGCCGAGGCTCAGAACAGTCACTTCTGCTGCATTATATAGGCCAAAGTAAATCACAAGACCAGCCCAGATGTAGAAATAAACTCTACCTCTTGGTAAGAGGAGCTTCGAGGTCACATGGCAAAAGGGCACTGACACAGGAAGAGGAGATGTACCAAGAGAAATATCTGGATTAAAGCTTACAGGGTGAGTAGGTATTCCCCAGCCAGATAAAGTAGGAAGTAAATGTATGATCCCATTGGGCAAGGAGGGTAGTGTATTTTCAGAGACACCCAGTGCCCCATAATGAAGGCATATAGTGCTGAGGGCAAGAGACAAGCACCAGGAGAGAGAACAGCATTAAAGACTAGAGGTATGTAAATGTACCAGAATTCAAGCAAAGAAAAGTTAATTTGTAGGGAGAATAACACTTAAGAAAAAATGTTAAACAAATGGGAAGGCAAGCAAAGTCAGGTTAATAAGTGGAGGGATGGGTGGATGTCCAGGTTGCTGTAGCAATATGTTTAGTAAAATTGTAAGATGTTGGCGCCTGGGTGGCTCAGTCGTTAAGCGTCTGCCTTCGGCTCAGGTGATGATCCCGGGGTCCTGGGATCGAGCGCCGCATCAGGCTCCTTGTTTGGTGGGAAGCCTGCTTCTCCCTCTCCCACTCCCCCTGCTTGTGTTTCCTCTCTCACTGTGTCTCTCTGTGTCAAATAAATAAATACATCTTTAAAAAATGAAAAATTATAAGATGTTTTCTTAGGAAATGATTTGTAGGATTGATATTTATTTCAAAAAGGGAGGGTGGGGGGAGGAAGGAAATACCTCGATGGGTGCTTGGAGAGAGAGGTGAGGTTGAGGGAGCTGGATGCAAGAACAGCTGTGCGCATGACTCAGCCTGTGCACCTTGTGGCTTCAGGGAGGTCAGGTGATGATGTAGATTACATGACGGAAACTCTTTCTGTGATGCACCTTCCATAACCCACAAAGTAAAGGATCCCCAAAATAAAGGATTTTGAGGTTATGGTCCCAAACCGAAATACCAAGGCTCCAGACTCTCACAAGGACAAGTTTGTCGAGTAGGTCTCTGAGGTAGCTGACATCAGGGATGTATTTAGAAAAGAGATGTGTCCATGTGTGTTTCCCCTGGGATGTGCATGTGAAATGGTAATTTTCAGTTCATGGGTTTTTCACTTTGAAACCAGATTTTGTAAATTTTTTTTCAAAGATTTTATTTATTTATTTGAGAGAGAGAGAATGAGAGATAGAGAGCACGAGAGGGAAGAGGGTCAGAGAGAGAAGCAGACTCCCTGCCGAGCAGGGAGCCCGATGTGGGACTCGATCCCGGG